TCCAAAAAGAAATGATTCGAAGAGCCAAAAGACCACACGTACTACTTCATTTCTTGTCACTTTGTTTAACACCTTCGAGGTGCGTGTACTCCCGGGAGTACACGCGGAAACCCCTCTTTTCGGTCATTCGTACAGTATTGCGAAAACACGCGCATATTTTTTTGTTCTTTTTGCGACTGATTATATTCTACTAGCATATATTTACACAATTAACACATCAATACTTCGAAAAAAGTGCAAATATATTTCAAGAACCACGACGAACGTTAGATCTGGGCGAAATGGCCTTCGCATCGAACGTGTTAAAGTCTTGCGTGTACATGTGAAAAAGACCATGGCATTCCCCCCCTCTGCCTATCAAATAGGCCGAGCCAAAGTGGGGTGCAAGAAAGTAGATGGGACCTCAAGAGAGTCTGATTCACTGTTTTCAGATAATATAGATTTAGAGATAATATACAGTCCTCATCATTGCGGACCGGTGGGGCGTGTCAGCCAGTATGAGTGTGCACACTGTTGAAGCCGTTCTCAGCCTTTTGTTGAAACGCGTATGCGACAAAAAGTGGTAGAAAACGAGTAATACGAAGGATAATAGTAATGTCACTTGCCCGCTTCAACAACTGGTGCAGAACGACTTTGGCACCGCGCCAACGCACTGACACGCCCCACCGGTCCGCAATGATGAGGACCGTAGATAACACTGTTTTCGAAATGAAATGTAACTCTATAAATACCTAAGGATATGATTCCATTCGGACAGCGAGGCAATGGGCAACAGAGTCCCTCCATACAGATGCTGCCTGGGGCGCACATCATGTTGAGATTCCCACAACGCATATGTGCCTGAAACAAAGAGCTACAAGCCAAACACACTTACATAGGTACATATACTTTCGTAAAAGAGACTATCACAGAACCCCTAAGGATAGCCGAATGTCGCTCGGTCAGGTCGAATGTATGTTTCTTGTTAACCTGTTGAAGAAGCTATGTAATGTGGCTACAGACCAGTTTTCCATGTCTACGATGCAAATCAATGAAAAATTCACAAGTGAAAAGGCCCTTAAAAAGTTCAAAGTCATGACGCAGTCCAAAATAAGGTAAGCTGATCGCAGCCGCAGATGCGTACTACTCACTCCACAACATGGTCATGTATAGCAAGGTAAGGCAGGGATTTTATGATGTTACTGATGCCTCCAAGCCGCTGACAGCATGCAGGTTCTCTGCCTCTTTCAAGGACGTAGGTCTCAATCGGTTCCATGGAGGCGAGTGAGGTCTCCTTCAAAACATAACTGAGAACCTTGAATGTTGAAGACGCATCCCGTGATCTCACAGAAAAATGGAAACTCACTTTGGAGAATGGTAGCGTATATCGCAATGATCGCCTTGCATAAGCTTCGTGCCAGAAAGCTGTAATGAAGAGGCGTCAAGGGTCACGGTCGTTCAAGTGACTGTTGTGCCAGTTGTCCTATCTGGCATGCTGCTCCTATCGTCCGGTCTCTTGCTCGAAATCCTCATAGATACTTTGCCTGTCCAAAGAATGCTTTGCTTAAGACTCTCACCGGTTCCCCCCACTTTTTTCACAAGTATGTAAGTTAGGTGGCACATAGATTTGTGTTTGTATCCTCGCTGCCTGCGAGCTTTTCAACGGCTTACCGAGCGGGCTGCCTTTGACGGATTCCCTCGGCTCCTTCGTGATAATAGCTATACAGTGAATCGTGCAGAAGTAGTAGCAAAGCGAAGCTTATTGAAGGACGCACTTGTTAGGGCTCATTGAGTGCCTCAGCATGCCAATCATAATAATTATGCCACCTCCAACAAAGACTGTCCGAAATCAGTTCTCAGTGAATGAATATGTGTACCGTGGATTCAGCTAAACGTGACCCAGCCGGAGAGCTAGCAACACGCTGCAAAACTGAATATGCAGCATTCCATCCCAAAAGTGACGGTGTGGAGGATACCAAGAAATAAAAACTCCAAGCAGGCTCCATCAGTACAACAGTGCCGTTAGTTATAGGCAGAAAACTTGGGTCCTAACGAAAGCGGAAGGCGGGTGAGACAGCGTCCATACTTCGCGACAGCAGCGACGACGCGGTGATCGAGCGATCCTACAAGTTCAGACACAACGGGAAGAGGTCGTGATTCGGTAGTTTGGCAGCAGCAGGGCGTTCCGAAGTTTTGCTCCAGTCGTCGCTGACCGCCTCGCCTACCTCCAGTGGGTCTCCTATACGTTTGCAGTTTCCTGGACATGTCCCACATCCACCATGGACTGATTGGACTTATCTCTAACAAGGGAATGGTTTGAACTTCCCATGGAACTTTGAATGGAGACCTAGGTACATCGATAGAGCCTCGAATGCTGATTACGAATATGCAGATTAAAAGTGCTACGGGGACCTCCCAGACGAGATCTGGGTGGTCAAAGTTTGAGTTCTGGCTCGTAAGCGCTGATCGATGCTTCGGCAGTGCCACCGTGGCCTCGTGGTAATGGTCTCGCTTTCAAGTCAAACGCATGCGGGTTTGCATCCGGTTGGCGCGAAAATTTTTGCTTCGCTCCGTATAAGAGCTTCAACTCTAATTTTCGAAATTCTTCCGAATTTACGGCCCAGCAGGGCAAGTAGATCAAGTACATCAAGTATACGACGTACTCGATCTAGTATGGATGTGGTCATATCTGCCCTCTCTGAACATATTACCCATCCGACAATTCAAAGTTTTAGCGAGAAATTCGTTCATGGGAGATTTCGACCCCTGAACACGAATATCACATCCTTCGACGAAAAAACGCTCGTCTGGCCAAATTGCGATTCTGGGCAAAACTTTGAATTGTCGGATGGGTAATATGTTCAGAGAGGGCAGATGACCAAATCCATACTAGATCGAGTACGTCGTATACTTGATGTACTTGATCTACTTGCCCTGCTGGGCCGTAAATTCGGAAATTTCGAAAATTAGAGTTGAAGCTCTTATACGGAGCGAAGCAAAAATTTTCGCGCCAACCGGATGCAAACCCGCATGCGTTTGACTTGAAAGCGAGACCATTACCACGAGGCCACGGTGGCACTGCCGAAGCATCGATCAGCAGCTTACGAGCCAGAACTCAAACTTTGACCACCCAGATCTCGTCTGGGAGGTCCCCGTAGCACTTTTAATCTGCATATTCGTAATCAGCATTCGAGGCTCTATCGATGTACCTAGGTCTCCATTCAAAGTTCCATGGGAAGTTCAAACCATTCCCTTGTAAGATATGACTAGAATCTCTAAAATATGACTAGTAGCAGCAAGTGAGACAGGGTTCTCCTGACCTGCACACGACAATGAGAGTGATCAGCTCGCCTGCTTTGGGCAATCTGGCTTTGCTAGTAGTCAGGCTCATAGCGGCGATTTGGTTTGCATCGAGGCGCACAAAACCTTTTTAATCGATTTTGTGTTGACCGCCTAATGATCTTCTTTCCTTCCGTAGGTTCGGCACATTGCCCTAGAATCTGAGTTCGTGATCGTTTTGGCAAACCACTCAGTCATGGAGGGACGTCCTTTGGCGTACTCTTGTCCTGATTTGTTCCCATGTTGCAAATTTTCACCAGTGTCACTACTTTCTTTGTGCGATCACGAGTTCGAACTCCATGTCAGCTTCTCGTACCTTTTTCTCTGGAGGATGAATCACCTTTCTCTTTGTGCTCAACCATTCACGCTTTGGATTCACAGTCTGTTTTCGACCTTGCATTTTCAAATCGTCGGCGAACCTTTGATCCCCTTCGGTATCGACGCATGCCCTTGCACTTTGCTTTGCCGTTCCCTCTTTTCTATTATTGTTGAATTTTCATCGCGCGTTGCGATTCTGGAAGTGTTCAAATATCCGCGTTTTCCGGTGAATGTTATTCTGGACGGATTCTGGAAAGGTGCCACAGCGTTGAATCCAAATAAGGTTTCACTTCACAGTAATACATAATCACATCGAGCCGCGGGGCTTACTGATGATCAACGTGAGTATGATAATTTCAGAGAGCAATCAAACGTCTCCGTGAAAGGCAGCTAAGTAACCTGTCCTGAGCCATGT